AGCGTATGTTTCTCGACGTCTCAGCGTTTGCACACACACACCGCGGGAGAGCGAGGCGTTGTGAGAAACTGTAAATTCTTTTTTTTCTTTTTTTTCAATTTCATCTCATGTTCATGCATTCAGGCCAATAAGAGAAGAGACGGAGAGTTAATGCAATATCAAAGCAAAAGGAGAGAAAAATTGAAGGCGCAAGAGAAGAATGAGCACTCGAGATAGTAATGCTATAACGCTATATTAGATAATTAGAATAATGGCGCAGTCAGATAAAGGGGAAGAGGAGGCCGCGTGAGAAGAAATGGAAAGGAGTGACAGACATGATAGAGAAGACAAGAGCGAGGGAAGAGATGGGGGAAAGAGCGAGGGGGATGAAGGAGAGCGGAGAGGAGGGACGACGCGAAGGGAGGGGATGGAAGAAAGAGGATTTATTGAGGCTGCAGGGAAGAGCAGCGTGATAGCTCTCTGATGGATTAGAGGAATGCATGAGAAATGGAGTGAAGAAGGGGGAGCGAGCGTAAAGTGGGTGGGAGTGGGGGAGAGAGAGAAGTGAAGTTTGTGGTCCTCCTTGGGGCAGCTCTAAACACTGGTATCATTAATGTAGTTGAGAGAAGTGCACTCGCCGAGAACAGTCTTTTATTTAAAGGCCACCTGTGGGTATTCGAGTGGGAGAAAATCGGCGGAGAGAGAGGGAGAAAGAGATCGGGACGGGGTGACAGTCAGATAGCATTAATGAGAAATTGAGTTGGGGGAGAGAAAAGAGAGAGAGAGGGGGGAGATACTGGAAAAGTAGGGAATTGCTGTAGCCGGTGGGCAGATGGGAGAGGGTGTCGTGATAGGAGAGTAAAGAGAAAGAGGACAGAAAGCGTACTGTTTTCATTTCAGCTCGGCTCACTGCAAACCAGGTTAGTGATGCTGAGGGTGTGTGTGTGTGTGTGTGTGTGTGTGTGTGTGTGTCAATCGGTCTGTCAGACAGACGTTGTTTCTACAGCGCAGTGGTTTTTCTCCAACCAGAGTTTGTCTGTCAAAAGCAAAACCTTTCTATACATTTCATGCCAAATAAATATTTCATACTTCAAACCAACGCCGACTTCTCTGAATCTTGTTTCGCTGCGGCAGCCTCTTACCCGGCCCGGTCGAGTCACTTCCTTTTGTCTGCCTCCATCCGTTCAGCCAAATGAAGGGAAACGGAAAACAAAGACTCCAATTAGTCAGGCAATTAGACTCTTGTTTTGTGTCCTCTACTCATCCTCTGAGTCACACACTGCTAATAGCTATTCTTTCCTCTCCCATCTCTCATTTGCCCTTCACTTGCTCTTTCATGTGTTTTTTTATTTTCCCTCCTCATCTGATGCTCCATATGAAACCACACCTCAGTGAGTTTTAATGTATTTCTTCCTTTAAGTTTCCCTCTCTGTTCCTGCACTTCATTTCGCTATTTATCGCTCCTTCTTCATCGTTTTTTTTTTTTCTTTCTTGCCTCTGTCTCTTCATCTCTTTCAACCGGAGCCTGCCTCGTCATCCATCAACTTTTGGTGTGACCAGTCGACTCGCCCAGACGCAAGCGAGTGTAAAACACCAGTCCCCCTCCTCCTCCATTGTTGTTTTTGTCTCTCTTCTCCATCTTTCTTTCTCTGTCTCGTCTTTCACTTTAATATTTTGCGGCAGATTTCTTTCCAATCTTTTGTCGAATTCTTTTTTACATAATTCATGCATTTCATTCAGATCTTTCGTCGTCGGGTGTTTATTTTTTTTCCAAAGAATATCGCATCAGACTGAAAACAAAACCAAGACGTGGACACAAAGAATTCATGCCAAGTTTAGAAAAGAAGAAAACAGAAAACTGCAAATAGTTATTTCCCACAGGACTAAACAAATGTCTCACCAGAAATGACATGAACTAGGAGTGAAATTGCGACTGAATTGGCGTGCAAAAAGACTTTGAATCACAAAAGGGAAAGTAAAAAGATGTAAAGGAAATAGATAAAGGAAATGTGTGTGAATGGAGCTGCATGATTTGTTCTCTTCATCCTCTGTGTGTTCCTTTTGTGCGTCTCAATCACACTCCATTCCTGTTGATGCACCTGCCGGCTGCAGTGCGTACACGTTAGCGTCAAGTCTGTATGTGTTTTTGCTCTTTCCTGACACGTTTCTACGGGTTCGTACTGGTCGAGCCGTCAACCTCGGGTCGTGCTCTTAAAAGAAAGAGATCCTCAAACGTTGACAGACAACAGCAAGTTGCGTTCTGAGAGTTTGGATATTTATTTTAAGCCCTCCGTGTCTCTGGTCGGCGTGACTCAGAAAGGCTGTGGCGGCAGACTGTATCTGCTCGGCTCTGACATTAGATTATCCCCCAGATCGAGTCAGATTATCTCCTGAAATACGCGGCCTAATGAAGGGTCAGGATATTCCCTAAAACCATCCACAGTTCAATTTACGATGGCCATAAAGAAAGATGCAACATGTTAACCTTCAATCTAATTTGGTAGAAAGGGAACAGTGAGATTAATTCCTCCCATGAATGCCTCTTTTTTTTGGTCTGGTAATATTTCCATTTCTTTATAAACAGAATTGTGCCCTCTGCTTCCCTCTGGAGATGATTCTGATTGCTCAATCTCCCCACATGTTTCATATATTTAAGTTTTGGATGTTTGCCTGTGCTTTGTCTGAAGCGAATGCATGATAAGATATGATTATTTTCCAGCCTTTGAGGCACGGCTCGGCTCAGGCTCTGGGGTTGGGAATGCTTTGGGAATCATTTGGGAAAGGACGAGCAGGATGCCAGGAGCTGAAAGTGGCACTTAGCTTTGCTGGGTGCCATTTCAGCAGCTGCACAGAGAGATATTCCCTATTCATGAGAGAGTGACCTTAGCACACTGTCACTGCTCTCCTGCACCTGCAATGATTTATTGGTTACAGAACGCTGGGCAGCCGGATGATGCGGCGGCATTTATGCGCGGGGCAACACGTGACCGTTCCCCCCCTTCAGCCTTTGTCCTTCCCTTTCAACTCGGTCGACCGCGTCAGAAACGAAAACGCACAAACGCACGGCAAAGTGGGTCCAAGTGTAAAGTGGAAGATTTTTATCATGAGAGGCATTTGTGTGCATTGATTTATCCCTTACTAAGTACCTTTAAGTACATTAGGGTATTTGTTTGTGGACCACATGAGTGACGATGCCCCGAGCAGCCAGAGCTTGGTTTGATTCCCGACTGCTGCATGTCAGTCCCCTGCTCTCCTTATCTATCTTCACTGTTTAGTAAAGGCTTAAAATACCCAAAAAATATCATCTTGGAAGAAAGATAGCCGTTGATTGGCCAAAAAATTCAATCAACAAAACATTAAACAACCATTCAGGTCATTTTGAAAGCAAACAAATCTCTATCTCTATCTTTTCTCTTTGGGTTTTGCTAGTTGGACAAAACAAGCCCTTTAAGATGCCATCTTCAACTGTGGAAGCTTATTCCGTTTTCTATCTCCCTTTTTTCTTTCAATGTATAATTTAAAAGATTGAAGTTTTTATAGCAACATGCGCGTACAGTATTTTCTAGAACAAAGATAACACTCCGCATATGTATTTCTGTTTGCAGGCTTGTCTTTTTATTTTCTATTTTCTTCATGTTATCTCCTGTTTTTTTTTTCGTGGCGCTATTACTTCCAACTCAGGAGGAAGGAACATCAAGAGACGAGAGGCACAGGAAACAAAAGGCAGACAATGAGCAGAGCGAGAGCAAGCCATCGCGTTCCCTATCTTCCTGAATCAGAGGGCATGAATATGGAGGAGACAAATGTCTCCGAAGTTCACAGAAGCAAATGTTTTACAAATTACCAGACTGCAGCAAACTGAATTAACACGATCTTATTTATAGGAATGATGCTTCTCGTAGCTGCGGTGCTATTTTATGCTTTACGCGGGAGATTGTTTATGCATAAAGGACATCAGAAATGATGTTTTTATATACAGTGTGCACGAAGCTGCTGCGTGCATGTATTCGATTATGGCTGTACGTGTGTGTTTTGAGAGTTAATGATGTGTGGAGCGGTGCTTGGGGGGTCTCTCATTGGGTAGGAGACGCTGGCCTATTATCCGAGATGTGTCTTTATAGGAATAAAGCATTGTCACTTTGTGTGTGTGTGTGTGTGTGTGTGTGTGTGTGTGTTTCATCTGCACAGGGAATAGCACACACAGTAAAACTTTAAATCAGTCCTTTACTCAGTCTAACCAGGAGCTCCAGAGAAATACTGGAGCCTGGATAAGTGTAAAATGTTGATTTATGTGGAGCATCGATTTTCTTCCTCACAGTCTCTGAAGGAGTGTTTTATTCAGGACCCGAGGCTTATAATATCGTGGCTCACTGCTGTCTCTTTGGCCGTCTCGCCTGCAGCACAGTGTTATGTGCTGGGCTGATTAACCTGTTTATGCGCAGCTCCAATTGACATATGTTTTTTATGGCTTTTAAAGTGAAACTATTTACCTCGCTCCTCTGCCTAAACTCGGCTATCCTTTAAGTTTCCAGCGTCCCGGAGTCGTTCACTGGTTCTCAGCGCAGTCTGCAGAGACAGATCCGGATGTACGAGGAGCCACAGTGGCCTATATATTCCTTTTTTTGTTTCCTATCGGCATTAAATATCTAACAGCAGCCCTCTCTCTGCTTCCCCTCCAGTCTGATCTCGTCCAGACGATACTACTTCGAGATCCTTCACAAGCAGGATGACAAGGGCTCGGATCACGTGGAAGTCGGGGTAAGCGCCTCCATCCAAACAACAGAACTCACTTCATCTATTTTGCCTCTCTGTCTACATCTTTTTTTCTTTCATTTTCCTCGCAGTTTTTTTTTTATTAACTTCAACTCTCTGACTCTCGGTATATGAAAATGGTTTCACCTGTCTGGAGAAAGCATTTCCCTTTGGCAGGAGAATTTCCATTTAGTTTTAACTTGTACCCTGTGTTTAAAAGTGTCAGAGTGGTGAGTGAGCAGGAGAAATGAAAGGAGAGCGTTTGAAGTGGAAAGCTCTCCTCCCCTCCCTCCTTCACTGTATAGTACTTTGCATTTTCTGCCTTTTTTTTTTTTCCTCGGAGTCATCTGGTCCTAACTGTATGTATTCCCCCCGCTTGTTGTTTTCCTCAACGAACCTCCCAAACTGTCCTCCATCACTCTCCTCCTTCACCTTCCTCTCATCAGTTGCTCCTCTCTGTCTAACTTTGTTCTCCTTCTCCACCCTCCTCCTCCTCCTCTTGTTCGTTTCAACTCTCCTCTGCGCCATTTCTCTCTCTCTGTGGCGCTCGTGGTGTTCTGCACCTCAGGCAAAGCTCAGAGATGAGTGGGGCTTAATTTCGATATGAAGTTTCGAGCGAGAGCCCACACGCCTCATGTGAGCCTGCACTTTGAGTGGGAGGGCAGATGATAAAAAGAGATCGCTGGTGTGTGCATGGAATGGATCTCTTAACAAGCCTCGGGTTATCGCCATCGCGGTGACCATCATCATCATCAGCCGAGCGGTGCTGCTGGAGTTGCACTCTTTCTTACACAGAACTTTTGTGTCATTTTATTCACCCTCAAGGTTAATGATTTTTTCTTTTTTTTTTCGCTGCTTCTTTCTCATTCTGGCTTTATCACCTGCAGACTGTCTGAGTGCCTCTGGCAACGTTCCTCTTCTGTTCTCTCCGAGCAACTCCTGTTTGTTTCTCCCTATATGTTTTATACTTAACTGTCCTGTCATGCTTCGAGGTTTCACTAAGTGTTCATCACTTCACAAATCCTCAATCATTGCCACATTTTTTTCCAGTCCTGCTGTAGTCTATTCTCTGCAGTATTCTGGTCTCCTTAGCCTTCAGTCTGTTCGGTGTCATTCAGCTTAAATTGGATTTGGGATACTGAACTCGGAGAGCTCTGCGGTGCCAGGAGGATCACACATGAACCCGACGGGGGAAAAAATACACAAACAGATGACTTTTTGTGTGAATGAGGAAGGCACCATACAAGCAACTTCATTACAACCCTGCCATGCTGACTCTTGGGCCTCTAGATTACTTTGATGTGCAGAATTTGACTAAATCAGCTGGTAACTGCTCACGACGACGTTTTCTCTTGAGTTTCACGCGGGCGGTGCGACCCGATAGCTATTATTGGCAGGTCTCACCAGTACTGTACAGGTGCTGTGGGATGCTGCGGGTCATTGATGTGAGTGTGTTATGAATATGCTGCTAATTACGCGCAAGTGTGACGAATAAATTACAGCCCGTGACAGCCGCATCCCAGCAGCAAACAAATCCCTCCCCTATAGTGGGAGAGCCTCTGGAGTTGGTGAGATACACCACAAGGCAATAAAACCTGTGCACCAGCCAAATGGGTGCAAGTAGGTCCATGGAAGTTTTGAAAGCAGGTAACGGGCTGCTGTCGGACTGGTGGCTCAGCTCTCTACAACCATGCTTTACCAGTAGGAAACCAGTGTGGCTTTAGCTTTTTTTGACTTTATGTTATGAGACAATTCCCAACACTCAAATATGTTTATTTTTTTCCATCTTTCTAAAGCAGTGGTTCTCAAACTTAGGATTGGGATCCACATGGAGGTCCCAAGATAATTTCAGGGGGTCGCCAGATCATTGTAAAAAAAATAAAAATGAAAATAAAGCTCACATTTATCAAATAAATTTGTATTAGGGCTGTCAAAATTAAAAGTGTTTACTTCTTGTCAATGTTATGATTTGATTCTGCAATATTATTATTATCCTTTTTTTGCTCTTTTTTTGAAATTATTTTATTTTGTTTTTATATTTTTTTCCCCTTTCAATTCAATACATTCATTCATTTAAAAGAAAATGAATGTGTGAATATAAAGAGATGAATCGGTGGAATTAACACATTCATTTTTAACGTATTAATGCATGAAGTTATTACTCATGCCGTATTAAAAATTCAAATTGGGGGGGTCACGAACACAAAATGATGTTATCTTGGGAGTCGTGGCTCTAAAGCAAGTCGGGATATGAATCACAGCCATCACCCGTGTGGCTTGTAGCCTAGAAATGGGCTCAAGGATTTCATTTAGAATCTTAACTAAATTTGAAAATAGAGATTTGCTTGTTTGCCTTTTTAAAAAAAAAAAAAAGGTGTTATGTTATGTCACATATGTGGTAATATACATGTTCCATTAATTAACTGAGAAAAACATAAATGAGAACAACAACAACTCGTTCCATCGTCTCCTTTTCACCTCCATGACGAGGGAGAGCTGGGAGGTTGAACTAACTGGCATTGATGCTGCCCTCTAGAGGATCAGGTGGCAAAGATCATGATGCTTCTTTCTTCCAACCTCCAACAACATTTCAGGCATAAAAACTTTCCTCGAATCAAACCCTGCTTACGGTACTCCAAGCCGCTGTGTTGCGTTTCACCCTTTCCTGAGCCTTTAACCTTCATTCAGAACTTAAACTTGACAAATTATCTCCTTGTACGGTTGAAGTGACGAATGGATTAATCTCCCGGTTCTTTCAGCCCTGCTTTGGTCCCGACCAACACCTGAGGGAAATACCCTAATATATTCACAACCTAATCATTTTTGACTCTTTTCTGCCATTTGGTGGATCCAGCGGACAGTTTTCAGAATCTTACTACTTGCTGAAGGCCTATTAACCCCAAAACACTAACGTTGGGTGGTTTTCACCCGCACAGTTCTTATCATGTGATTTTCATTGTAGTGCTGCTGTCTGAGCTGCATGGGTCCTTGTTTAGCTTCAGGCTGCTCATTGATGTCATTAATGGTATGTTTGTTTCCCACCTCCCATGTATGGTTTTTTCAAGAGGCATGCGTTAGTGATAGAGGGTAACATATTTTATGGGTGGAATTTACCCACCTAATTTTGCTGCCTTTTTAGAGGGTCCCCCATGACACCTTTTTTTTTTAATTTTATGTGATGCTAAGGCTGCTGCCTCCGCGACCCGACTCCGGATAAGCGGGAGAAGATGGATGGATGGATGGATGGATATTGTATATTAGGAAATGAAAAAAGACTATTACAATTTGGCATGCAGTGTTTTACTTTTCTGCAAGGTGGCTCGGTGGTTAGCGCTGTTGCCTCGCAGCAAGAAGGTCGCCGGTTCGCGTCCCGGTGGGGGCACCCGGGATCTTTCTGCGTGGAGTTTGCATGTTCTCACCGTGCAGCGTGGGTTCTCTTTGGGTTCTTCGGCTTCCTCCCACACAGTCCAAAAAGATGCTGAGGTTAATCGGTGATTCTAAATTGTCTGTAGGTGTGAATGTGAGTGTGCTTGGTTGTCTGTCTCTAAGTGTAGCCCTGTGATAGACTGGTTACCTGTCCAGGTGAACCTGCCTTTGCCCTGAGTCAGCTGGGATAGACTCCAGCCCCCAGTGACCCTAGTGAGGATAGATAATGGATGGATGGATGTTTTGGTTTTACATAAATTGATGAAAACTATTTTTTATCCGGAATATTATATCGGGTCAAATATACCCGGCGTTAGTGACGGTGTTACTAATTTTAACGTTAGTGTTCTGGGGTTAAGAGAACAGAGAACATGAACACAACACAGTAACGCCTTAAAACCAAAAAACTCTGAACCACAAAACAATGAATCGCTCCGAACAACTTTAATAAATGTTCCACTTGGTTTGACCCCAATTAGATGACACGGTTATTTTTCTCTACTGTTAAATAAAAATGTTCTGAGAGCATCATTAAAACACAGACATTATTTAAGCCAACATCATCTTTAATCTCGGTACCTGTAGCACCCGTCCCCTCTAGAATACACACCTTAGTGTGTTTTTAAATGCTTGGCTGTTGCTGTTTTTGACTCCTTGTATTGGAGGAGACATAACAGCCTCCAGCCCACCTCGGGGTGGTCAGTGGAAAGCCAACGCTGACTAAAATGGAAGAAAGGGAGCGAAATGTAAAAAAAAAAAGAACTACAGGCCTGAAAAATCTTTTGCACAGGCAATTAAGATTCGCGACTTTCAAAGTAAAGGTCTTAGTCTCTTAATGAGATCTCACTGGCTTGGTTTAAGGACAAAGAGTGAACGGAGCCACAAGGAAGGAGAGGAGGATGAAAGGAGGAAGAAATGGGGCAGGAGTGTGACAAAGAACTCATTAAGCAGAGCCACGATGATTAATCGAACAGTTGCCAACCATTAAATGAATTAATTAATCAACTATTTTGGTAATTGATTCATCTGTTTGATTCGAGAAAAGTCCAAAAATGATCCGAATCAAGCTCTAGAAAGTTGAATATTTTCTGGTTTCTTGACTCTTTTATGATTTGAGGATGTTTTTTTCCACCATATTTGAATATTTTGTAGAGCAAACAACTAATCAGTTCATCAAGAATTAGTTGCAGCCGCCTCAATATACAGGGAATTAACTGAAGGCCTTTATCTGAAGTATTTCTCTGCCTTGTGGTATTTGTCATTCAAATCTTCTTAACATACTTTGCCAGTCATCCAGACACACTGTTCATGTGATTATGCCGACTAGCGAATCAAGGTCATGCTGAAATCCATCTCCAGCTTTCTGTTTTTCTCTTTCTTCCTCTCAGCCAACTACCCATAGGTGTGTACTGGTAGAAACAATTTAATGAAGCATATAAAAGTCATGCAGCAGATCAAGATTTTGTGTGCGGGACAGTGTGTGTGTGTGTGTGTGTGTGTGTGTGTGTGTGTGTGTGTGTGTGTGTGTGTGTGTGTGTGTGTGTGTGGCACGCTGTCTCACAAAAGGCCCCTGTGTGTGA